CCGCCTCGACCTGCGAAGTACCACCGCTTCGCAGAAAATCGGCTTACAGCATTTACTGTTATGTGACTCCGTGGCGCAGTTGCCAAGGTATTGGCTACGGCGTCTGGGGTCGTGGGTTCTATCCCCATACGGGACAACTATTTGTGTGCCACAGATGGTTGTTTCGCATCTGGGTATTTGTCCACGTGAAATTTATGTTTGTAAAATACCCTTATACACATCACAGGATAATGTTATCCTAAAGTGAGGGCCATGTTTTTAAAAAAAGTAAAATAAATAAATATGTTATATTTATGCCGGTGGGAGATATATAAAGAGGTCCGTTCTCTTTGAACTTCTCCACCCACTGATGCTGAGCATGTAACAAACAACTTTACTTGATTTTACATTTGGCATTTTTTTAAATACCTACCCAAGTGACGGTGAGCGTCAACATAGTCTTAAAAGGTTTTAACATGACAGACTATATTTGGCATTCGGAAATGGGAAACTCATGAACGTCCTCAGGTTATGACAGATTTTTTTTATTATATTTCTTAAAGGGTTGGCTTTATAGAATTACAATCGTGACATAATTATCATATAAACAGATACAATAATGACTGATAAGATTGCCTATCTGTTGGTAATTTTAATGTCATGGAAAATCACATGTAACACTGTGATGTAAGGTAACGCCTAATAAACGCTTAGATAAGGTAAAGAACATTAAAACGTAGATAAAATTACTTTATTACTTTGATACACCACGAAAATGTTGGCTAGTAGTTTTTCTACATTATTTATTGTAACAATTTTATTAATTAATTTTATTATGACTGAATAATGACATGTGATTATATTTGGCAATAGTATAAAGTTTATAATAAACAATATTGCGGTCAATGCACCATCTCTTGTAACCAATTTGTATGCCGTGATACGGCCTGGACATGATAGGACAATGTATATTTAATATCTTGCATGCAATGTATGTATACCATGTTTTTACAAATAAAGACTATCTATCTATCTATCTATCTATCTAGTGGTAAGTGTTCACCACTAGATAGATAGATAGATAGATGGAAAGGAAGTCGATGCATGCAGGTGGCTGAGGATCGAGCTTCTTGGCAGTCTGTAGGGGAGGCCGATGGTGAAGTATTCACCGCCGCCGATGGAAACTCGTAACACCGGAGGACCCACAACTGCGTTAGCCTTTGAGGAAGGAGTAGGACTCTTCTTGAAGGTCCCAAAGTCGTATCGGTCGGGAAATACTGCTGGCGACAACTGATTCCACAACTGTATCTCATGTCTTGGAGAACTGAAGTTTGGTCTCTCATTGATTTGATTTCAAAAGCCTGGCACTAAAATGTGTACGTATCAAAATCTTCTGCGTGCTTGTTGTGAGGTAAAAAAAAAGAAAATCAGTCACGTATAATTTATGTTGAATTACAGTTTGCTGTAAAATTATCAGATAAAAATTATTTAATTTAGATTATTTATTCGATTGTACAACTAGTGAATCATATAACAAACTCTTACAAATCAATACACAATTTCTTAATTTTGTTCTAATAGACTAATTTATTATTGGCACCGAAGTTATCATCCCAAAGGTAAAGATAAAGGTAAAAAAATTGAATTCATAAAACATAATATAAATATAACGGCGGGTATCAAAAGCTAAGAGGAAAAATATAAGTGGAATTTTAAAAAAATCTTACATTGACTTATTTTTTCTTTCAAATATAGTGGTACCAAGTATTCTATCTTATCAGAACTTACCAAATACACGTCAATACTATCTATCTGAGTCACTCATTCGTGACTAAGAAAAAAATTATGCTTGCTCTGAGTGTATCTTTGGTTAAATAAAAATTCGCCCTTATTTGTTTGTAGCGATAAGTATTAATACGATAACGAAAAATGAATCTTTTTCGAACTGCACTAGACAGCTGTTCATAACTTTGTGAATTGCTTCACGAAGGAAGTTTCTGTTTTAAGGCAAATAGTTATTAACTTGATTCCCAATGAGATCGAGTCATTTTAAAGAAATTATAAGGGGTGGAGTAAAAATTAAGGGGTATAGATTTATTTCCCTTCTACGTAAAATTATTAAACAATGTGTTTAAAATATTATTTTCTACGATTTGAAGACTATTTAAAGATAAATGTTTCATTTTTACCGATACATACGCACCGTACGCAATATAATACGTGTAGCTTAAGTTACGTGAATATTTCTAGTAACTGATAATATTAAGATTGATTAGAGTATTAATACCTTAATTAGAATAGCTATGAATACTGGATTTGCACTAATGTTCCAAAAAATAAATTCTGTTCATCCGTTCGCTACCAAATTTTACTTGGTGCCTGAAAATATCAAAAGTTTGAAGTCCGCAGACATAACTCATTGATTATAATAAATATAAATAACTATCAATAGCATATGTTGCATTGTAAAGTCAGATATTGGGACAGTTTTAAAAATTAAACGTACAGATTTGCTGTTACAGAGAAAGTTTAAGTCTTGATCAAAAAGCATCTGTTGGCTTACTATCAGGCATCTAAAATATGTTCCATCGACCCCTGAGGCGTTATACTGCTGATTGAGCATAGAGGTGTTAATGGATTCCGGTCAGTTTAAAACGCCTCGAATTAAGGTTAAGCATAAGGAGTAAGAGAGTCTTTACGACTGCGTCAGTGGTAGAGATGGTAGAGCCAGCTTCTGATATTGCGATATTTATATTGCGAGAATCGGCCTTGGAGAATGTCCTAGGGAGTAAAACCTCTGTTTGGTTTTCGTGAGAGAGCGGAACATGGGTAATTTCTTAGATATTGACAACACATCTACCAAACGGATACAGTAATGTCCATTGTTACTTACCATCCGGGTAAACATCTGGTCTACGACTTTTTCCATAAAGATCAAAGAGTGGACATTCCCAAACTTGAGAAGTATCTCCTCGTAAATTGTGAGGCAAAATTAACAGCTCGAAACGTGTTCATTGTGGATGATCCACGCTTCATTACGTAAGCGCCATTGAAATTTATATAACGCTCGAACATTATCCGGTTTATTTATAAAAAATGCACTCGCCAATAAAGGATATCCTCTGTCAGAGGTCGCGGGGGAAGTCCGTAGCGTGGTGTGATTTATCGAAGGTTGGCTTGGTTCGCTTTAAGATTGGCGTAAAAGGTAGAACGAATACTAACGTAAGTCGACCGATGATGTGATTTTATTATTGACAAGTAACTGTTACTTGAGATGAATAAAAAATAAGTTCAAATTATATCTGTCCCGTAACCATAAACGCTGAAAAGGTTAAAAAAATCGGGAAATAAAATTAAAAATCCGTAAAAATAGTTTATTATTTTTTTAATTTCTACTTGCAAACGTCACAGTCGTATCTATACCCAGTGTAATGTTTAAATCTATGGAAATATAAATTTCCATGGTTAATAAAGACAGTCAATACAGTTTCAAGACAAGTTAACTGTATTTGTTACCATTTTCTTCCGAAGAGATTTTGATTAAGAGTAAAACAAATATTCCACCCCATAACTAATAAGCCAAGATAAAAATACAAATAGCTCTGTAGTATAACATAACTTGTAGTACAGACAATGATGAAACGTTTTTAAGTGTTATGTATCTATTATCTAAATTCAGCCGTTCTTCTTTAAGAATCGAGTAGAATATGCTGTTAGACACAAACGACTTTTATTCATAGATATCCTATCTATTTTGATGTATTGCCTTTTGATAGACAGCATGATAAAAAGTATAGACAAATTAGATCGATCAAGGCAAAAAATATCCACACACATTATAACCTCCCAGTAGACCGGCGTAAAGTAAAACTAATTATGCTACTGTATTTTAATGATTGCATAATGAGAACGTACTGGTATTAAATATTCGAAACTGAACTGGAACTTTATTTCTTACGCATGTTGAAACACGCCTTCCGGTTTTATTTATTACCCATGGAACATTACAAAATGTTTTTTTTTTTTTTACTCGTAATTAGAATGTACATATATCTCAATCTCTGTCGAGACTTGTGTTCCAGGTCGAAAAGATAACGTCTTCGTGCTAATTTAATAGTAAAAACTCATCGATGAGCAGAAAATTAGTTCCCATGTAGAGACATATATTAAAGAAATTCACAATTAAACATTGTTTATATAAAAAATAATTCAAGCAAATTATTGATCTACATACAAGTTGGAAGACTAGCGTCAGTTATGTTTTGTCAGATAACTTAGCCTTGGTTATAATTACCAACCAACCTTTTGTAATATTTCGATCACGTATTAGAAACGTCAAGGGTTATTACTAAAAATAAACATCTTAATGTCCGTAAAACAAAGTAAACTTTACTTAATAAAGATAAGGAACCATTTTGTGAAGGTTAGGTTGATCGACAAAAGGTTTTGAGCCTATTACAAATATCTTATTAAAACATATGTTATGACAGTACTTAATATACTCATAAGTACAAGATTGCAGAAATCGATAATCAAAATGACGTTTGTCATTTTGTAACACACCGGGTAGCAGGAAATAATGTACTAATTTTAAGACCAAAACAGTTTTATTCACAAAATTGGTATTTATATATAACAAAACGTGTGAAATATGAAATAAAAAAAAAAAACAAATCATCACGAGCAGCGTAATGAGACGAGTAACGTAAGCAGGGGAAGTACTGACTTAGATCCCGCTAAGACATGCGCAACTCGGAGTAAAAGCGAGACAATTTGAACTTAAAGATCGAGCTTTTGAGTACAAAATTGTTACACAAAGTATAAACGTTAGTATCATCTTCGATTGGAATTAAACGGGGGCATTGTAAATGTTAATCATGTTTATTGCCGACTAACACTCGGCCAGATTCCACCGCCCCCGAACAATCCAACGCACCGGTGCGCTCGAACAGTTTCCTGTTCAACAAACGAACAGTTCCGTTCACAATTTAAAACACTTCAGCGTCTTCAATGTGGAATCAGCGCATGACGAAGGTGAAGATCGATTCGATGACGTCATCCAGGTCTTTGCTGAACGGCGACAGCTGCGCCTCGTAGGATGGCGCCGTCCTGTCCTTCCCGTCGACCATGACATGGCAGTTGGGCCCCACCAGCTGCACCTTGTCGCCCCTCCATCGCTTGTTTATCGTCACCAGCCCATTGCCGCCTACCAGGTTGATGACCCCGTAGTTGTCAGACACCTCCACGCGGCAGTCGTTCCCGATCACCTCGATGTCACCCTGATTGGTTGTGACACGGACTATGCAATTGTTTCCGACTACCTTCAATCGGCTGGTGTTCGTCTCCATGGTCACTTTCTTCTTGTTGCCCAGGACCGAGTATTTCTTCATTTTGTTTGAACTCTCCAAACAAACTTGGGTTCGATTTGAATTTAGAATGCCCTTCAATGTGAGCGTCTGATGAGAAGCTTAGTTTTCTATTAAGACTGAAGCTTAGACGGACTCGTATTTGTCGGTTCGTATTTGGAATGCACGCGTTCCTCGTGCTAGCGTAAGCGTCTGAATGATTTGAATTTAGAACGCGCCGCGTTTTTAAAGCAACGTGCACGCGTCCGCGTCGCCCGCGCCGCGGTAATCTCCCCTTGCGTGGTGCGTCATTCATTGATGGACTAGAATCATTGACCGTGATTTCTTTCGGCTATTCGTTATAATGAAATCTTATTAATTACCTGTTATTTGTTGTGATTCCCCAGATATTTGACGTTAACTTTTGGTGTTAATTTCATAATAACATAATAACTTAATAACATTCATTGAAAATATTATACACTTTAGAGAAATTTGGTTGTTCTTTTTCAAAATTTGGTTTTGTTACTAAAAGAACCGTTTTCAATGCACAATAACAACAAAATATTACTTTTTAATAGATAATAACGAATATCTAAGAACAAAATTTAAATAGTTAATGTCTGCTCTTAAGCAACAATTTACATTAAGAATAAACGTTCTGTTTATGAAAAAAATATGTACAGCAGAATTGACGAAGTGTTTCTGTCTAATATAAATATAATGATATATTATTAAAGCACTACATTGGACTAGTTTTACCAAAAAAACTCCATTTAAGTTCATTTGATTGTTAAAAATGAACAAAAGTTTTAAAATGTGGTGTTAAATTGCGGAAGAGAAACTGTTGGGATTATTGAGAATTAGATACAAAAGATTATTATTGTAAATTTATTAATATCTTACAAACACAGTTCAAAATATATTTTAAGAAATTTTCTACACTATGAGGAAAATAAACGAAGAAAAAAGGAAGAGAAGTCACAAAATTTCAATAGTTGCTGCGATATGATAAAAAAAAGTTTTCTTAAAAATATCTAGCATAAGGCTTAAAGGCTTTATCTATGGAGGTTATTTTTGTTCATAATGCATTGCCCCCCGTAACTGTAATAGGTACCGTTTCACGTTTTTCCTTCGAAGATATTACGAGAAATTAATGCGACTGAATTTTGTACTGTCCCGTATCTAAGATGATTCTGTTGAAACGGCTGGCACGCTATTCATATGGGCCGTGAATAATTCGACAACGTATTATTTCCGTCCTATAACCGCACGCTTTCCCCGATGTAAATACACCGAAATGTCGTGACATATTTAGATAAGCGAACAATAATTCTCACATATGATCCCTATGAACTTGTTATTGCTTACGGTTTCATTTCAGTTTCTTGAAATTGTATTTGATTTATTATTATTATATTCCATCTATGACATTCTGTTGTTGCTAGTTTTAAAACCAGTAACAATAGGCACTCTTTATATTGTATAAACAAAGCGTGATAGAGTTTCTCTTTCAATTATTTATCATAACCTAAAGTAATAATAAAATGGCAAATTTTGAGTTTAGCATCCTTTAGAATCACTTAAAATCAGTGACTGGTAAATATTTGGATGTAACATATATATTCATGCACCGAGCATTGGTAGAGACTTTTAAGGGGAATCTAACCTACAGAACAGTACCACTATTACCGAGCGCGGGATAATACAACCAAAATAGATAACTGACAATCATCCAACAAGGCTACAACTCCAGTAGTATTGCAAGCCGTTATCCTCGTATTGCCAGGCGAGTTATTAATAACATCTACTTCCTTCCTCCTTCCTGCGTCGATATTTTCTATTATATCCTTCCTAGTAAACACAGTTACAAAGAATTGAACTTATCGGTAGACGCTTGACAGTTTATCAAAACACACGTAAATTCCATTCTTTCCGATATTACATATGCGTTACATATCAAGGCACGTATGTATATCGCATAGATGTGTACAAAGTATCGCGCATCTGACTCACCTGTCGGCTGTCGCCTCTTACCGAATTGATGTAATCGCTTGCACCGCGAGAAATGCGTGAGTCACTAACGCAAGAGTCTCGTTTCGGTCAAAGATTACACCGCGCGACGTGAGGTAAGATGGCGTGCGTAAGTAACCTTGTTATGATTAACGCGTACATGGAAACGGAAATGCGTTAATATATTAATTGCATTATTAATACGATATGATTATAGTCACTATTGTGACTATGATCATATCGTATTAATATGTGTTATATAGTTAGAGATTTGATGTGTTTGAACGCATTATCTAATCTACATAACCTTAAAAGATATTTGATGCTTTTGCACCTGAGAAAAGTTGTATGTTGTAACTTCGAATACTCTAAAGAAGGTTAGAATCCTGAATTTCTCTGCAAGTGCTAAGTATCAAGAGCAGCCAGAAGATATTGGTATAGAGAGTTGTAAATTAAATAATGCTGTAATACCTACATCAGCATTTTTGAAGCAAAAACGCATTAAAAAATATAGCGACATAATTATATGTTATGACTATCACCTTCATGGTCAATTGGATATCAATATTTTTTTTAAATATTGGCAGTTTAAAGTACCTTAGAAGGCACTAGTGTTTACATGACATAAATAATGCTTTTTATAACGATAATTCAATCTAATGCACAAAAAAGTTTAGGTTTATAGAATTACTGCGAGGCGTTTAGAGTAATTTAAATGTATAAAACTGCATATAAGAAATGTACTATAATTGAGTGTATTATTTATTACTATCGTTCTTTGTGTCAGCCTATTATTTATAATCTGTGCCCGTTGCAAATTCAATGATCACAGGTCGGCACGCCGGCCGTCGCCGCCGTAGAAGAAAAAAGCAGGAACGCGGTGACTCATCGGGTGCAAGCAGGCGCGTTGCCGAGCTCTGGTTAGAAAGAAATGGGACTTGATCCCATGCTAACGCTAATAAACTACTGTATAGCAATTCTAACAGGAAACGTATTCATAGAAACGCAAACTCTTTTCGCTGAGGTAGACGACTTTACGATTTACAGTGGAAGTGTGATTTGATGAAAATCTTGTAGGACAACACGTCCAGGAAATCTTTTTATCGCGCAAATAGTTTTCCTGGACGTGCAATATTTATAAGAGGACGTGGTAATTTTGGTACTTCATATATGGTTCCCAAAATTAGACAATAATATAATTAGACAAAACTAACAATTAAGCCGTTGAAACATAGATAGCATTGGCTATGCCTAAACTCAATTACTGAACAAAAATAAAGATTTTTTTAACGAACAATACTACACATATATACACATACATACACTACAAATTGTTTCTCCTATTTGAATTTCAGATAATGAAAGTTTTTCAGGAATGGGCACCTGCAGGAAGGTCCGTCCGAGAAAGTACCACGACCTCACATAAGACTGACGAGAGTTGGAAGTGGCTCTTGCGTTTTTTCTGTTGAATGCGGCAGCCGGAGCCTACTTTATTAATAGGTGGCAACGCGTCTTCAACCCCACGGGCGTTGCAAATGTCCATGGGCGGCGGTTATCCCTTAACATCAGGCGAGCCGCCAGCTGGCTTGCTACCTTTTGGCATAAAAAATACATTTTGTAAAAGCTACCGTACTGGAAAGTGCCTATTACAATGACGAAGAACACACTAAGGAAAATGATGTGTGGAAGTGACTCTTGTGTGTTGAAGTGCTTCAGATTTTATGCTTTACAAATTTGAATATATTATTTAAAAATATACGAATCGAATTGAGAACCTACTCCTTTTGAAGTCGGTTAAAAATAAGAGAGTTAAAAACAAGACCGCGGAATTTCATGCCGGTGATACTGTAAACAGGTCTTAATTATTGAACCGGTATTAGTTTCTTGACGTGCAATAAGAGCTTGAAACAAGCTCATGTTTAATGAAGAAATGTCGACTTTGACTTTGACTTCGACAGCAATTGACAGTGTACGGATTGAATTGGCTGTATGAAGGATCATTCAACCTTTTAAGTTGAGCGCCTTTGCATTTCCTATCGCTTTAACGAGTGTACTGGGTAATTAAAATACGGCAAAACTCAAAGCCATCTTGATTTACGGCAGTCTACTACGATGCGCTTTTGGTCAAAATTCCAGCCGTATTACTAAACCATGATAGCTCAGTGTCTGGGCGCTCGGTTTTAATTCAAACCGAGTCCGAACTTCTTCCAAAAACTTCGAGCAACCCGAGTTCGAACCCGATGCCGGCACAAATTAAATAGTTAATGCAATTTTTAGTTTCAACATTGGACACATCGCGAGGAAACCTGCATATTTTCGAATATCAACAGCAAAAAATATTTCGAAGATATTTAAGCAGACTACGACGTTGTACTGCGCGTGTCACTGGACCGCGAAGATCTTTTTACCATCCATTGACATGTTTCTCGTTTGCTGCCTCCTCCTTTAAAATACAAAAAGTATAAAATTTATCCTAAATACGAGGTATTGTAATCTAACTAAAAATTCAAACATTGAAAAATAAAAAAGGCATTTTTAGTGGTGTTTTGTATAAAATAATACAGATTAAACTTTAAGTAACTTCATTTTTATTAATTTCATTTGTATTATTACTTGAGGAATAAATCAGTTAGGGGAAATCCTTTAAGTGATATTGTAAATATCATGTTTACATGACGGTTAGGTACGTAGGGGGGACGTTTTTTTATCTATTGACAAGTGGCGTTAAAACAGAAAAGCCCTTAGCGGAACTAGTGAATAGCGAAGTGTCTTATCGGGGGACTTTTTAGCGTTCACCTTTCTGACACCCACTCACCCCGAGTGCACACACACATACATGTAACATATATCTTTATATTTATAATCCTGTACGTGTGTATGTCATTGAACTCCTCCTAAACGGCTGGACGGATTTTAATGAAATTTTTTCTGTGGTTTTTCTGTGGTGGTTTTTAATGAAATTTTTGAGGTCGATTCGAGAATGTTTTAAATTTTTTTAATTTTTTTATCGGTTTACAATTTTTTTTTATTTC